TCTCATTTATTCATCTTTTTTGCATTTTGTTATATTTATATTCCTTAAAAATTTCAAATTTTGATTAAGTATATTCATTATTAAACTTGAAATAGGCATCAATGTTGATTTGGTTATAACCGATATCCAAAATATTAAAACCGATTACTTTGGTTACCGAACCAAAAAAATCCATGTAGAATTTAGTTTGGTTTTGGATAGTAAAATTGAAAAAAAAAAAGGATGGTCGAAAATTTATTTTGGTTAAACCGAAATCGAACTGTACCCAAACTGAGCCACAAGCAACCATAATTATGAAATTACGAATTTCTCCATTTAAAAGAATCCCTTTTTCTATCCCAATGTTAAAAAAGTTATTGGTGTTGTAAAATGAAAAAAGAATCAATTAGAAGAAGAGGAAAAATTAAAGAGACAAAGTGAGGTAATGGAAAGATATATTATATTTATATTTCTTTCTTCTCCATACATTTCCATATCTTTTCATATAACTCCATATATTTGCAAGAGTACAAGCCTCTATATATAAGGACTAACAGGGGATCAGAGTTACAAAGAATTAACATCCACTAAATTGAAGGTTATAAGGATTAATCTCCTACTAATGGAGGGGTTACAAGGAATCCCATTATCACCACCTAAATGCATGGCATTATGGAGTGTTAATCACCATTGTAATTATATGGAAGTAGTGGAAGTTACACCATTACTTGGTGTGTAAATGCCATGGAAAGTGGGAGGATGAAGAAGATGAAGAAGGTGAAACATCTACAATGAAATGATTCATAACACTGCACCTTGATATTCACCTTTTATTATATGCTTTTTAAACTGTCTCACTAAAAAACCTTGCCCAAAAAAAAAAAAAAAAACACAATGGGAAAAAATACCTTGGTGAAGGAAAAAAGAGTACAGTGTGTATAATATTCCCCCTAAATTTAATGTATATTTATAATTAGACAATTTATGCCAATTTAGTGTCTTAGCTGCTCAAAGTTCTAGAAGCCAATAACTTTGTAAAGAGAATCTATTGGCTTCTCATTTAAATAAATTAGATAAACATTATTTTTTCTATATTTGGGAAATTGATCCAAAAACATCACATAATTATCGTGATTTTAATCCTACTTGGATCATTTCATATCGGTCAATCATTTCTTCATCGACAATTTTTAATGAATTTGATCCAAGATCCTCATTTTCATTGATTGTATCCATCATTATTGCATATGGAAGAATTTCTATTCTTCGGTTTCATCCTCTTTTAGGAGAACTATAATTTATAGGGATCTCATCATTGTATATAATTTCAACATTCTCATTATTTTCAGGTACTTAAAACCTTTTTTAAGGTTATTTCCTCAAAAAACTCTTTAAGAGTTTTATGATTTCAGCAGAACTAATATTTTGCTTATTTTCTCTCTTTATTTTTGGATTTTTATCCTTAGAGTCATTTGTTCTAACACACTTCTAGCGTATACTCATTTGCTAATATTTTAGCAACTTCTTTAATGGGAATCTCAATGTAAGTAGGAGTACTTAAAACTTAGATATATGATTTATAACTTTCATTTCATCAATAGATGCATCCATCAATTGATAGTACAGAATTTTGGAATTTCGATTTATATCAACTTATTAGAGAATCTTGGGAGATGCATCCCAAGTTATCTTATGCCTTCCCAACATTTATCTCTCCCCCTAATGCTAGGAACATGATTCCTTTAGATTGACAATCAACAAATTTTGTTATAAAAAGATTCATAGTCAACCCATATAAACTCCCAACCTTCTTTGGGATTATCAAGCCATATATGCTCTCAATGCAATATTCCATGTTACTTAAGGGACTATTTTGTCAGGGACTATTTTGTCATCTTTATATTCAAGCATATGTTAATGCCATAATATATTACAATATATTTCAAATAATGGAGCATAGGCTTATATATCTCCTTGAATCCAATATAACAATAAAGGAGATTATACTTCAATTGTACTTGTAGAAGGCTTGGTAATCATGTTCTCAGGAGAATGCAACACATGAAAAATCACTTGATGGCCAAGTTATTTAAGCCCAAAACATTCTAGAATCAACTCTCTAGTTAGCCCCAATGTTTGATTCATGAATGTAATTCAAAAGAGAAAGCTTTTCAAATATGTGCCTTTTGGCTACATAAAAGATGTGACATAAGGGGCATTTTATGCCATTCTTATTCATGGTTTCAATACGATAACCATTATATGTTTGTACTCTTAAAGTTTAGTCGGTTCCAATATGATCTACTAGGATACAACTAATCACATATTTAAAAGTTTGCTTCTCCAAGATGCAAAATTCAAACTTTTCAAGAGCTTTCAATAGCAAACACTGTACAAGCTCTTTGGATTTTTCAATCAAGTTTATAATATGAAATATCACATTAGCTTTAAGCTAAGTGTAATTGGGAAAAGTTTTTCTCATGGATATTTCATCATGGCATAGCCTTTTGCACTTCAAAAAATGACACACAATTTGTCAACTTCTATTCCACTATTATTCATTTCGTATAATAGAAGTGCATGTATGCCACATTTTACTTATCATAGAGGCACTATTATATCTTCATTGTGTGATAGCAATGCTTTACACAATTTTAACTTTTCATCCTTGATTGCATCACTATAATAAAGATGCCATTTTTCAAAGTATTTCTCCATCAATATATAACCTCCATATTGGGAGATATTAGATGAGATTAATATGAATCTCAAAATTTTGGATATAAATTCTCCATATGAGAAATGTTATTATAAAATTTATATCCATTTATAGATGCATTCTTGCATCTCATCTTCTCATTGAAAATGAAATTCTTACTGAGAAAATATGATCTCAAAGAATTCTCCTTTTAATTCACAATTCCCACATTGGGACGTATATTTAATTTATCAAATGTTTGAGATACCTTTCCTTAATGTTCTCAAAATGGATATAATATATCCAAGTTTAAAATAAAATTGTGTATTACAAATATCACAAGTGCATATCCATAGTATCATTTTCCAAAACTATGTTTTGCACCTTTTCCCTTTTCATTGGGTAAAGCTTGGAACAAATCTAGCAAGCACATAAATTGCTTGGATATATAAAAGATATGTGACTAATATTGATTCTTGTCATATCTAAGAATTGTCAAATTCTTTGCCAACTTATTTTGCAAATCTTTTCACTTTTGCAAAGTCCGCAGAGTCTTAACAATGACTTCATATAATATGATATCACATTCTCTTCAGGAATGGAATCAAATCAATGATTGTGATTGATGATTTTTCATCAATTCATAATTTTGTTGGCAACAAGAAGACATGTATTTACTTTGAATATACATGTTAAAATTGCCCTCTTGAGATTCCTACTTTAGGAGTATATTCGAGGCATGAAAAGAAGAATGTATCTTCTCTTATATATTTTCATAAATAATAATTTTTCTCCACATGAGATAATTCAAAATATTTGCAAATTCAAGACTCGAGTAATAAATGGATCCATTCATAGTTAGCTTTTTGGAAGAATTGCAATTTTCTTTTTGATGATCATCTTTCTTCTAAATCATTTCATGATTCCAATGAATCATTCATCATCAAATATTCATCTCTTAGTCCTTTTTGGACTTCATAATGGAGAAATATCATTTCATAGCAATCCTTTAAGGATGCATTTTCCTTCAAAAATATTTTTTTTCTTCAAGAGATACTTTATTTCTTTCTACAATTGAATCTTCAAAATTCATTGAAGGAAATGAATTTTCATATCAAGAGTTCATGACATAGTTGGAGCTCAATTTATTAAGGGCAATGAACTCAAATTTTTTGACAAGTGCATATAAACAAGAAAATAGTTATACCATTATAAAATATTTAAATTAGAAAACAAGAAATTGAAAGGCTAGATTGTCTCAAAATCTTACCTTAGAACTTTTTCTCAACTTATATCTTTACCCAATTGGTTCATCACCTCAAATAGGATTCATGAATAGTAATTCATATAAATAGAAGTCGTGCTGATAAGATGTTGTAAAATGAAGAAAAAATCAATTAGAAGAAGAGGAAAAATTAGAGAGACAAAGTGAGGCAATGTAAAGATATATTATATTTCTATTGTTTTCTTCTCCATACATTTCCATATCTTTTCATATAACTCCATACATTTGCAAGAGTACAAGCCTCTATATATAGGGACTAATAGGGGATAAGAGTTGCAAAGAATTAACATCCACTAAATTGAAGGTTATAAGGATTTATCTCCTACTAATGGAGGGGTTACAAGGAATCTTATTATCACTACCTAAATGCATGGTATTATGGAGTGTTAATCACCATTTTAATTGCATGGAAGTAGTGGAAGTTACACTGTTACTTGGTGTGTAAATGCCATGGAAGGTGGGAGGATGAAGAAGACGAAAAAGGTGAAACATCCACAATGAAATGATTCATAACAATCAGGGTATAATTATAAGTGTTCACTGTTTTATAATTTGGACTGTAAAATAGGTTTTTTTTTTTTTTTTTAATCATAAACTTGTAATAAGAGGGGAAGAATACAGTTGGTACGAATAAAAGATGGGGGTATTCTTTAAAAATACCATTTGAGTTTGGGGCTTCAAATAAAGTAACCCAAAAAGAAAGCAAGTGAACTTTATCTTCTGTTGGCGGAAGTGAGGATGGCGGCGGTGATGGCTGGGGAATGTCATCTACGGCTGCAAAAAATAGGTCGGTCTAGTATCTCAAATTACAGCTGGGTTGCAGAACTCTGCATCCGATCTTCCCGTAGCAGTCAGAAGAGATCCTAGGTTGCCGTTGTCAGATAATCGCTGCAATTTTGCTGAGACAGATCGGGAGTGCACTGCATGAGTGCGTAAATTCTCAGAAAGAAATCCGGACCCATCACGTTATCTGCCGCATACTTGCAAAGAGAGCCCCCGGCTACCGCACGACTGCTCAAATCAGTCAACAAGGAGATCAACGCTGGATTGAACCCATCAACATCCGATGGGCTGTTAGCATTAGAAATTGTAGCGAAAGGACTGCCTTACATGGATCCATAGAGTTGTTGATCTGAGTAGCGTAGCGTACAGAATTCTGACCATCCGATCGCCTCTTTGTAGTTGGGACAT